TTAAAAAAAAGACTATTCTTTAAAATATTTTATTTGGATCCAAGTCTTTACATCAGCTGAGGATCCCAGAGGTTGAAATGAAAGACATTCTTGAGCCTAGATTCATGGAAGGATATGCAAGATACACCTCCCTTTGTTTGATCTGGGTGACTGTGTTCCCAGTATGTGGGGGAGTACAGATTTAAGATGTGTACCTAATATACATATTTCATAACAGAGCAAATTATTTTTGAAGCAAAGTAAAGGTATTAGTACATAAAAAATATCACCCCAAAGTCATTACAATTTTAAAGAATTTAAAGTAATAATTTATGTGTCTTCAAAGAAAAGAAATAGGCTTGTGTTGTCTAATATAAATAAAAAGTTTGAAGAAGCTATTATGGGCAGAAGCCAAATGTTTATAAATTTAAAATTATAGATTCATTCTAATAAGTTATATGTAAATTCTACTAATTTTCACTAGCATACTTTTTCCAATGATAACAACTTCCCTCTGCAAACAGGAAAACAATAGCTATTTCTATTAGACATAGAAAGATCATTTTTAATATCTAGTGCAATAGCTACATTCAAATTCCTTTTGTATGTTATATCCACTTTTCTATGGATTAGTAAGATTGGTTTTGGTTTTAATGGAATGGGATGAGAAGGTGACGGTGAATGAGAAATATCCCAAACTTTGGAAGAAACCCAGATTCATCGTGTGTGTAGCTTGATGTTGGAGTCATAATTTGTGTGTCTGGATGAGAGAAAGGACTATACTTGTAATGAATATAATCAACAGAACTGAAGAAAGCTGCATAATATAACCTTTAGTCCCAAATAACAAAGGACAACACCTGCTCTTCATGTGATTAGTAGGACTCAAGTTGAAAAGGTTTTTGTATCTTAACAAAAGAGCAATCACATTTTGTAGAATTCTTTTTATTGCCTTCTGGCTCAAAGTTAAAATATAGAATAGAAAACGTGGAGAGTTATGGTTGAAAAGTTTTGAATTTCTGGAATCTGTGACACTAGATTTTAAGTATTACTAAACTTGAATTCCAAGTGAATTAATACCTTGAGTGAATTTTCAAATGGGCATAATGTGCAGAGAAACAAAAATGAATACAATCTTCTATTATTATACATGGTGACATTTTAAAAATGATATTTTGTTTTTTAGTAATTAGGATGAAAACAATTCTTAAAAGTTAAGAGAGGATATTACTGATAAAGATGAATTTCTGTTTACCAAGTACCAGGTCTGCATAACTAAACTTTGAATTTTCTCAGATAAATCAGTGCACTGGGACAAGTCATCGGATTAGGATACCCCCCACCACTTCCACCTCTCAAAACACTCCCCTTCAGACCTGAAACCCCTGAAAACAAGAGGCGCCTACAAGGAGGTCAATTTGATTGAAGTCAGATCCATAAACTGAAAGTCAAGTCAAAAACAGGGTTAAGCCAATATATAAGTCCCATAGTAGACTTTTCTATTTAAGAAACAAATATAATCATCCACACCAGAAAAGAGTTACTCTAAATCAAGGGGTCTTTGCTTGTTCTCATAAATGGTATATAAAAGTTTCTGGATATCAACAATTAATCCATTTTGTCTAATTTTACTACTTTCCTACTAATAGTTATCCTACAGAATTCCTATAGATTTTAATTCAAGATAAGCTTGCAACCTAATCAGGCAGGTTTAGTTTTTAAGTTACTAAAGAATATCTTGTTAAAAATCACTCCCCTGGAAGGCTGTTTCATAATACTGCCATAGAGTGGCACAGAGTTTGAGAACAGAGAAACTGAAATTAGTACAAAAAGAACTTTCTATGTGAAGGTTTCCGCTGATGATTTAAAGTGATAAATGGACAATTTTCTATATTAATATATATTTATTTATATATTTGAAAATGCAACTCACATCAAAAGAGTACATTTACATCTTAAAATTTTGGTTAGGACACTTTTTGGGGTAATGAAAATGTTCTCTATTTTAATCTGGAATGGTAGTTACATGGGTATATACACTTAAGAAAAACTCATCAAACTCCACCCTTAAGGTCTGTGCATTTCACGGTGTTTAAATTTTACCTCAATAAAAAAATTAAATTACTAAAAAGGTTAATCAAATGAAAGAAAACTACAGTAACTAACAGCACAGAAAATGGCAAAATGATGATGGAATATCTGAATGATTCAAGTTTTGGGAACACTGGTCTATGGAAAGGTGAAGAAAAGTAAAATCCAAAAGGAAATTAAATGAGTTTTGAAACGTGACTGTGACTCTTCCCAAGGGGTTCTTCTACTTACTATTCTTTCCTGAGGTATCTCTCTGCCTGGTGCTAGAAGCCAGCCGTAGAGATCTATTATAATATTTATCTTTGTGGAAAGATGCATATAAAGCTAAGTGAATCAAGTGAGCTGCAGTACATGAATTCTATGTTAATAAGCAAGCTTATTAATTAGCACAAATATCCAGACATCTACTCATAAAATGTAAGCGATTTCTGCAATTGGGCTAATGAAATTTTCCTGCTTATTATGAAGAATTTTTGCAATAATTTTGGGGAAAATTTTTTTTATCCGAAAATATAATAGCTTGAATTCCTTATACATAAATGTATAAATCAAGAAAAGTGGTCATTAATTTTGCCTTTCAAGAGGTATAAGTTAAACTCTTGGCATTAATAAAAATAAAGTGTTAGAAAAAAAGATATGCATACATACATACTTTCTATATATAAGCTAAAAAAGTTTAGAGGGGGCTTCCTGGTGGCAGAGTGGTTAAGAATCCACCTGCCAACGCAGGGGACAAGGGTTCGATCCCTGGTCCGGGAAGATCCCACATGCCATGGAGCAACTAAGCCTGTGCACCACAACTACTGAGCCTGCACTCTAGGGCCCACGTGCCGCAACTACTAAGTAGAAGCAGCCTGCGTGCTGCAACTACTGAAGCCTGCACGGCTGGAACCCAAGCTCTGCAACGAGAAGCCACTGTAATGAGAAGCCCACACACCGCAACAAAGTGTAGCCCCCACTTGCCACAACTAGAGAAAGCCCACATACAGCAACGAAGACCCAATGCAACCAAAAATAAATAAATAAAAATGATTTTCTTTTTCATTAGAAAAAAGAGATCCTTTTCCAATTAGTAACAAATAATGTGGGAAGGCCTTAGTTAGAAATATGTAAAATTCTACATTGAAAAAAACTAAAGAAAAAATGATAAAGAGACATATTTCTACGTGTGTGCATTCACTTTATAAACATGTAATTTCTCTCCAAATGAATACATAGATTTTCTACAATACCAATCATCACCTCAACAGAATTTTTCCTGGGAGAATTAACTGAATATTTCTAAAGTTCATCCGTATGTTGTTAAAACTATTTAAATTGTGCCTTTATTGAGGTTTCCATGGGAAAGGAAATGTAGGGTAGGGTAAACAGTTTAGGACTGGCTACTTTGAATAATTCTGGAAGGCTTTGGTCTAGAGGGGTGGTCTCCATTGGCTGGAACCTGGGCCTGGGATAATTTAGGGCAGGGGCAATACTGGCTTGGTATTTGAGAACTTGATAAGAAGGTAGTTGGGTGATGTGGGTTTGGAATTAGTTGGTCCATATGAAAGATGTATCCTGTGCTAGTCTTGGGAGGGACAGTCTCTCCCCAAACAGAAAGGGTTTTTAAAATGTCAATTCATCATAATATACATACAATCTGAAAAACTAAACAGGCAAGAACTATGAAAACAATTTTTGAAAAAGTAGGGTAATGAAGGATCACCAATCCACACATTAAAGAAAAGATAGAGAAACAATAATTACAGCAATTTAGAATTCTTTTAAGACTAGATACGTGATATAGAAACATATTTTGACATGTTAAATGCCGTATGTTATATTATGAAGAAGGTATACTATATACTATAAAGAAGATAACAAAAGAAAAACAGTAAAGTAAAGAAGGGAAAGATTATTTATTAGTCAATAAATGGTATTCAGATAACTGGTTTTAGTGTAGGGGAGGAAAAATGTCTTTTTCCTCTATTCTTCTAAGCTCTCAGTTGGGACCCCTGTAACAAAAGATAGATTAAAAAGAGAAAAGCATACAAATTTATCTAAGGTAAGTTTTATGTGACAGGGGAGCCTTCATAAGGAAATGAAGATCCAAAGAAGCAGTTCAACCTATAAATCAATCAATCAAAGTAAAAAAAGCTCATGGAAGAAATGGGCAAGGATATGCACAGGCAGTTTTCAGAAGAAATATGTCCAATAAATATATGAAAAATGCTCAACCTCACTAAAATAAAAGAATAAATAACAGCAGATTGAAATAAAAATGGCATATTTTTCTCCTTTCAAATATTGGCAAATATGTAAAAATTGGTGATATCTAAAGCTGGCAAGGGAGTGGGAAAAGCATTGATAGTGGTGGACACAAGGAGAGAAACTACTATTCGAGAATATTGTCACTTAAGGAGACTGTCAAGGCTCAACCTATCCCAATCACAGTTTTGACAGTAACTAGAGTTAAACATATCTCCACACACAATGTATAGAATGACATGTTAAATTTTAAAAATTCTTTTAAAATGCTATTAACTTTATAAATTTTCATTAAAAAGATTCATACAAATGTCTGATACTGTTCTCTACTTAACTTTAAGGTAAAGTCCATATTAAGCTGTGAATTTTAATTATTTGAATTTTCCATACATTATAATAACATGACATATTAAAAATATTTTAGTATATGAGAGTATGTACAAATAAAAGCAATTGTTTACTTGTTAACTTACAATTTTCTATTATTCTAATATTTGATAATTCTATAACATTGATAAAAGTAACTATAAATATTAAATTTTTAGTGTCAACTAACATTTAGAAGAAAAATTTGATTATATGTCATTTTGATTTAAAATATTAATTTAATTTTCTTTTAAAAATAGTGTTAATCAGATTGAATTTGAAGTCTGTATATTTGATTTAATAAAACATGATCTTACCCCTTTCTTGGCCACCACAGCAACTTTGCCATCTGCTTTGGATTTGTCTGTAAGATATTAAGGTATGGCTGCTTCAAAAAAGTGAACTACACTCCTATTCAAATAAATGCAACATTACACAGTTAGAATTTTCTACTTTCTCATACCATGATATGTGTTTTCAGTGGTTCTTTTGATCAAAATGCTAACAAACTCAGCTCCCAGAGTTGAGTAAAACGAAGTAATCCAGAAGTAATAACATCAGGGATTGGTATACTTATTTGACAAACCTCCTCCCTTAAATCTGATGGCTGGTTGGATGTCCACCAGCTAGCATCTAGTGTATCTCATTTCTAGACAGCTTATGGTCAGCCTATGTGCTCTAGAGTATGTAGGATCTGAAATTAAATCCCAGCTACCTCTACGTGTACATCTATTGGGCTGGCCAAAAAGTTTGGAAAAACTCTAACGAACTTTTTGGCCAACCCCATACTACCAGCCAGACATGTAATAAAGACTTTATAGAGACAATATCTTATTTAATCCTCATGATAGTTTTAAAAGGGGCGTACTCCATCTGCACTTCACTGCATGAGGTCATGCAGTGGGGGCAGATCCATTTGACTACAAATCCCTAAGTTTTATGCCTGCTGCCTCCATCTGGGGTCCCTGAGCTGCCAACAGTGCATCAGAGAAAGACTCAGCAATAATGAAGAGTTTAATCAAATAGAGAACAGATGACCTTTGAACAACATGTGGATTTAAAGTGCAGACCCCTTGCACAGTGAAAAATCCACGTATAATGTTTGACTACCCTAAAACTTAACAACTAATAGCCTACTGTTGACTGGAAGCCTTAGTGATAACATAAACAGTCGAGTAACACATATTTTATATGTTATATGTATTATACACTATATTCTTACAATAAAGTAAGCCAGAGAAAAGAAAATGTTATTAAGCAAATAGTAAGAGAAAAAACATTTACAGTACTGTACTGTATATATCAGTGCTGTAAGTTATCTGTTTACAAGATGAATCATCTGCCTGTCAGTACCTACAGCAATAATGTCTTCTATGATACAAAACACTGTAGATGTCATATGTATTACTAACACTAGACATCAAAAATTAAAAGATAATGTGAAAATGAAATTCATGTTTAACAAAGAAACAGCAACATGACTGCTTTATGGTTGCCTAGTGTAATTGATATGATTGTTTCACAGTAGCCTTTCCTATACACTAATGAATGAATGGTTATCACATTTTTATGGCATAGAGTAGTACAGTCATACTCATAAGATAGGATGGGAAACACTGTTACATTTTGTTTAAAAACCCTTACCTGTGATGATAGGTTGATATGCAGTATCTCCAATTATGAGAGAGAGGAAGAGAGACATACTGTATGGTAATATAATTCTTTGAAAGCAAAGTTATAAGACAGTAAGAAAACTAACATGTTATTACTTTTATGTTAAACATCACTCACCTTATGCCTATATAAGGTTAGGCTATTCACCTCAAAACACACCTTGCACACAATGTTCTACATGATGAATACTTGGGCGTTGATGATGATGAGGACACAAAAAGTCTCATACAGTACTTGCCACACAGGTATTCGATTTTCACATGAAGATACTCTCATAATACACAACAGATAAGTTTATTAACTGTATGGCAAGATGATTATTTACTATTCATTGAGTAGAAGTGGATCATCATAAAGATCTTCATCCTCATCAACTTCATGCTGACTAGGCCGAGGAGAAGGAAGAGGAGGAGGGGTTGGACTTGCTGTCTCAGGGGTGGCAGAGGCAGACAAAGTGGAGGAGATGGAAGGGGAGACAGGAGAGGCAGGCATATTTGGTGTAGCTTTACAGAAGTACATCTTAATTTCTGTCTGACTTTTTTGCTTTTTCATTTCTCCAAAAATGTTTCTATATGGTACCAACCCTTCTTCCACCGTTTGCTTTAGTTTCAGTGCCTGTATCGTAGAAGGGTTCCTGTTGTTTTGCTTTAGCCCATATCATAGAAGAGTCCATGTCGTAAAAAGTCAAAGCCCGTCTTGAATATTCGGAAACCTTCTGCCAGCTTGTCTGATGTCAATTTGTTTTCTGGCACTGCTTCTTCTACATCCTCTTCCTCATCTAGCCCTGGTTCAGAAGCACTCATCTGTTAATTCCTCTCGTGTGGTGTCTCTTAGCTCTTGAATTTCTCCAAGATCCATATCTTGAAACTCTTTGCCCCCCACCCTTTTTGCCTTATCCACAATCTCTTTCATGATTTCCTTGATTGGCTCCATCGTAAATCCCGTGAAGTATGCCCAACATCTGGTCACAGTCTTCTCCAGCAGTGATTTATTGTTTCAGGCTTGATGGCTTTCACGACTTTTTCTATAACAACAATGGCATCTTCAATGGTATAATCCTTCCAGACTTTCACAACGTTCTATCAGGATTCTCTTCCACAGCGTTGACAATCCTTTCCATAGAGCACTGTGAGTAATGAGCCTTACAAGGTCCTTATGACCCTCTGAATTAGAGACGTTGTGTTTGGGGGGCAAGTAGGCCACTTTGACGCCTTCAGTGTTGAACTCATGGGGTTTTGGGTGGCCAGGGGCATTGTCTAATATCAGAAGAACTTTAAAAGGCAGCCCCTTCCTGGCAAAGTACTTCCTGACTTCAGGGACAAAGCACAGATGAAACCAATCCAGAAAAAGGCTTCTTGTCATCCAGGCCTTCTTCTTGTAGTACAACCAAAAGACTGGCAGCTGCTGTTTATCTTTTCCCTTCAAGTTTTATGGGTTTGCAGCTTTATGGATAAGGGCAGTCCTGATCATAAACCCAACTGCCTTTGCACAAAATCATACAGTTAGCCTATTCTTTCCTGCTTTAAATCCTGATACTAGCTTCTTTTGCTTACTAACAAATATCCTTTGTGGCATTTTTTTCCAGAATGCACTTTCGTTTGCATTAAAAATCTGTTCAGGCAGACATCCTTTCTCCTCAGTGATTTAATGGTGTCTGGGAACTTGTCTCTTGCCTCTTGGTCAGCAGAAGCTGCTTCTCCTGTTATCTTGACTTTTAAGCCAAACCTCTTTCTAAAATTATCCAACCATCCTTTGCAGGCATTAAATTCTCCAACTTTAGATCCTTCACCTTCCATTTGCTTTAAGTTGGCAAATAATGACCTCACTTTTTCTTGAATCATATTAGAGTCTAAGGTATGTCCTTCTGATAGCAAACCTGCACCCACATTAAGGCCACATCTTCAAGATAAAAAGGTACTGCACAAAAAGTGCAAGGTTTTTCACATGCTGGTGTAACCACAGTGACGGCTTCACAAATTTCCTTTCCTTCTCTTTTTTATTTTTAAACAATGGTTGGATTCACCCATCTTGAAATGGTGGCAACTTCAGCTGCAGACCTCAATCTATGGTACATACCAAGCATGACTTATTTCTTGGGAGCACTTCCAACATCACGAGTGGCACTTTGTGGGTCCCATGGTGTTATTCAGGGTTTATGGTATTGCAGTAAATATTATGGAAAATATTGGGCTGGCCAAAAAATTCGTTCAGTTAGTGAATACATTGTTCAATAAAATTCTTGGTAAAAATGAAAAACGCGTCTTTTATTTTTACTTAAAACCGAATGAACTTTTTGGCCAACCAAATACATGAGAACCACGAGAAAGAACTTTCTACTGTGATATGCAACTTAGTGGAAAGACGAAGTGCTCATGTAGAGGTGACTGGTGTCACAGCGTTTTAAGCAGATGTGCACTACATTTGGGCTCACTGCTACAGCAGCAGGAGATGGCTAGGAAAGTATTACCATAGTACAGTATGTATCACAGTTATCTTTATGCAATCATGGCTTAATACTGCATCTTTATGCTTGTTTACATTTCTCTCGACTATGAATGGTTCCACATACAATCTGTGTTTGCATACATTTTGATAAATTTTAACTTTTTATAATAGATTTGTGCATATTTCATGGCAGTAAATGATAAAATAGACTAGTATCTACATATATTTTAATCATTCATGACATACCTTTTTCTTAATTTTTTCAATATTTCTAGGCTATGCAGTTCATCTGTGAATTTTTTCAAGTTGTCACAAATCTCCCCAAAACTTTCCATATATTTATTAAGTGAATTCGTTGAAATCTGCATGTAAGTGGACTCACGCAGTTCCAACCCACGTTGTTCAAGGGTCAACTGTATAGAAAATTACTTCAAGATATCATTTTGATATGAGCAAAAGTATACATGTGTGTGTATTAGTAAAAATCATTGGCACAACTGTTGGATTTTTAAAAAATGTTCAATCTGGAATTCCATAATTGAATAATTATATGTAAATATTTATTCATAGATATGTTTTAGAAACCTTAATATTGTGGTAATGAAAAATGCAAAGAGCTATGGACATTAATTGTAAAGTTTTAGGGTTACATTTAACATTAAAGAAAAATGTATAGAAATTTAATTTATCAATATAGAATTTTAATTCACAGTGAACATGTAAAACAAACAAAAAGGATAAATACCCATGAATATAAGACAAAATAAATGCTTGCTATCTAAAAGCAAATTTTGTAGTTAAAAAGCTATTTGCATAAAACACAGAAATCTAGAGGAGCAGGTTATTATATTTATACCTACAACTGTTTGGCCACATGTAAACTGCCCTTTTTCCTGTGCTCAGCTGTGTGCTTGAAATAATCCCTTCTTCTGGAGTACACTTTTTCCCTACTGATGAACGTACAAGACCATCTACCAACACATCCTTCAACTAGGAGAAATTCCCACCTCTTTTGCAAATCCATAGTCACCTTAGTCTATAGAACTTTCTAACTTGTACTGATATTACGGTTACTTCTATATATGTGTAAGCACTCTGCAAGGCTAAGATGTGCCTCAAGGCAGGGACCATTTTTCATATGTACAGGTGCTCAATTTTTTTATAGTTAATTAAATATATATGTATTTTATTCAAAATATTATATGGATCTGAAATATACATTGTACCTGAACAAATTAGTATAAT